GAGCACAACCCCCTGAAATGATGGCAGATAGCAAAGAAGTTAATGCTTCCTTTGCTATCTGATGTTTTTTTTTAGTGTCCCGACAGCTGCTGCCGTCAGGAAAAAAAAAAACGGCATAGGAACAAATATCCAGATTTGCTATTTCAATTTGCAATAGCCAATAGCAAGCTGGCTATTGCACCCGCCCTCTGCTGCTGTCAGTCAGCAGCAAGGGGACCTGATTGAGAACTTCAGGTCCACCTCTGCTGATTGACAGCAGCAGTGGGTGGGTGCAGGAGCTAGTCTGCTATTGAAAATTGAAATAGCCAATAGCAATCTAGCTATTCGTTCCTATGCCGTTTTTCTTTCTTTTCTGACAGTGGCCCCGTTGTCAGAAAAACAAAAACAGACAGCACGGAAAGGTTTACTCTGCTAGATAGAGCAGAGTAAACCTTTCCGGGAGAAAGTGCTTCTCTCCCAGGTGTCCGGGAGCCACTATCTTATAGCGGGAGACTCCCAGAACGTCAGGGAGAGTTGAAATGTCTGCCCTAAAGGTGGCCATACACTCTACAACCATTGCAAGACTTTAGTCTTGCGATGGTTGTAAAGGGATTAAAAAAACGTACGATCTGCCTATCTTGGACAGGCAGATCGCACTCTCGATCATCGCAAGCCCGCCCCCCTGAGGGGCGGGCTTCCGATGACCGCAATGCTGAACGGGCAGTGTGCGCGTGCGCACACCGGCCCGTTCAGCATTTATCTTCCGAGCACCGTTCTAACCAGCCGAGAATCGTACGATTCCCGGCTGGTTTTCGAACATGCTGGTTCGACGGAAGACGTGCGACCGTACAGTAGAAACGGTCGCACGTCTCCGTTCACACTGCTCAATTATCGTACGAAAAAACGATCGCATACGATTATCGTACGATAATCGTGCAGTGTATGGGCACCTTTAGTGCCCATTCACAACAGCTGCAGCATTAATTGCACAGCGTCTGGTCTGGTGTGCAGTGCCCCAGCCCAGTGCACTTTTTTTTTGTTAGAACTTTATTAAACTGTCACAAATGACACTTGATTCAGTTCTCCAGGGACAGGGTGGTGTGAGGCAGTTGTTCCGCACTGCATCTCGCTGTGTTGAAAAGAGGCATACCTTACTTTTTTTCAGCGCACACCACCGCGTTCCTACCACAACGCAGTGGTGTGAATGGGCACCATCCGTGACAAGGCAAATTGCCTTGTCTTGCATTGGGGCTGCACTGGAAACAATGGCCAGTGCAGCTCCAATGCAGATGGTGTAAATCAGCCCTTAGGACCTGTTCATATCACAGTTCTGTGACATAAATGTACTGGACTGCTTAATCAAACCCTCCCCATGTTCTGGGGCCAGGCGCTGCCATTCAATTCAATGGCACTGCAGTCACTCCTTCCAGCCGCAGTGCGATCGCCCGCACCGGAACGCGTGGTGCCACAATGCCCTACGTACCAGTGTGGTGAAATTGCAAAAAAATTGTGCATGCACTGGAATGCAGGACATTGCAGTACCATGTTCCACTGCAGGTGATCGCACTGCGGGCGGAATGCGTGTTTGGGCTGCCATTGAAATTAATGGCCCCCTCCCAAAACGCCGGGTGGGTTTGATTAAGTGGGCCACTGCGTTCATGTCCAGGAACATGCTGTGAACGGGCCATTTATCATTTTTATCACAACACACACCAATGCAGCATGACGGTGCCAACACACCCTTCACAAAGCCTGGCCATGCATGTTTTCTTTCACAGGGTGAAAACTTTTCCTAGGACAGATTTTTTTTTTGTCAGGGACTTTTCAGTATAACAGCACATGACCAGCACGAAGGAAAGAATGATCCATTTTCTATGTTTCTAGATTAAAGCCTCCGTGACTCCGTATTGTGGTAGCGCGGCTTCATAGACATAAGACGTCGCTCCGGGGGTCACCGGGATACAGAGGGCGGGGCTTCAGGCAGTGGGCGGGGTTGCAGCTGGCAGTGAGCGGTCCTTGTACTGTGAGGGGGGGGGGGATTGGGTGAGAAGTGGGAAGAAAGAAAGGAAGAGCAGGAGAGGAGCTGAGCCTGGCTCCCATACACTCTGCTCATTGTCGGACTGCGGCGTCACCCAGCTGGATGTTGGAAGCATCGCTCTGATCTATTTGTCCGCAGTGGGAGACTAGAGAGCCCGGCTGAGCCATGCCCAGGAAAAGCATCGTGCAAGTCGACGTGCAGGACGTCCAGAAGCGGCGCAGCCCCAACAAGCATTATGTGAGTGTGTCCCGGGTGTTGGGGTGCTCCCCCTGCAGTGCTGGAATGTGGGCTCTTCCAATCAGGAGCAGCCCTCTGGGTTTGGGAAGCTTCTCTGCAGCTAGCCCAGCATGCTGTAGGCTCCAACCACAGACATTTCCTGGTGTGAAGCATCAATCAATGGTCATGCCTCAGCCCAGGAACACTGGAGCAGCTCACCACATTGCTGCTTTTTATGGACATCAGCACGGCTTGTTCCTCCAGTTATCACAAAGCAGCCCCAGAATCTTCCAATAACTTTAAGGGTGCGTTCACCCCAGCAACTGCTAGGAACCGTGCTGATGCCTCTGTCCCTAAATATTGCACAACTTACTTTTTTTTTGTTAGAACTTTATTGACATTTCATTCAGTTCCATTTACCGCACCGGTGTTGCAATAGGCTGCTTTGAAAAATAAAGTACTGCCATGCTTTCTTTCAGCGCACACTGCTGTGCTGTGAAGTGACCTCATTGAAAACCAAGTCTTTTTTGCCTGGTCTATGCATTGAGACTGCCAATGCATCTGGTGTGATTGAACCCTTAATCCTATCAATAGATCTCTCCCATTTGCCCCACCTGTGTTTTGTTATAGCTGTTCGATAAGTGCACAAATACCTGTTGATCCTGCTGGCCTGAACAAGATCTTTATGTACGGCCAGCTTGCCTCCGAACGTCAGAAGGGCCTCCCCCCCCCTGCTTTATGGAGATGAGGAGGGAGCTGTTCTGTAGTTTTGGACAAGGGTGACAATGCTGCTACTCCATAGACAGTTCAGTGAGTGAGTCTTGTCACCCTATAACAGGAAGTGTGTTAACAGCAGGATCATCAGGTGACAATATAGCCTGGAAAAAGAAAGTTAATGCAGCCACCACATCTAAGGACTGGCCAACTACAATATATAATAAATTTATGTTGGCATTTAGATACACTTTAATTTAAGCTTTGACTGCCACCGTGATTCTTATTTAAAATTTATATAGATATAATTTTTATTTTAGAAAGTTGGGGAGGGGTAAAACAGCTTTTTTTTCCTCTTGCCATCTACATCTCATTAGGAAAATTTCCCTTCACTTCCTGTCTCAGCAGGAAGTGGGGGAGATCCTCTTTTAGGGCTTGTTCACAGCATCTCCAGATCAGATCTGGAGGCATATCTGCAAACAGTGTCATGTGCGTTTCTGATGCATTTTTGACGCGTTCTGGTGCTCCAGTGCATTTGCATGCCTTTTATTATTATACAGGATTTATATAGCGGCAACAGTTTGCGCAGCACTTTACAATATAAGGAAGACATTACAATCACAATACAATTCAAAACAAGATGGTAAGGAGGGCTTACAATCTTTACATGCTGTTTGGTGCTTTCCAGACCAGAGAAAAGCGTGCATGCAGTATTCTTTTATCCTCTGGAACTGAATGCACTGGTGTGAACTAACCTCACTTTTTACCATAGGAATGAATGGGGATGTGTTTTTGGACCAGACAAAAAAAACTTTCTGGTCTGTACATGGTGTGAATGTGCCCTTAGACAGTTGTTACTGCAGGAAGTGTTCCCATAGGAGGATTTCCCCTCTGTTCCTATTCTGATGACAACTGTAGATTTTGGATATTCCCTCACTGTTAGATCTGCCAACAATGGCCACCAGGTCAAATAGAGAGGATGATGCATTTCAGTAGTTCAGAGAGCCGTAACTCTGCAGTTAGCTGAACCCTCAGCGGCTGTTGTAGGTGTCATCAGTTTAAAATGGCCAGGACAATGGAAGATGCTATCCAGGCACTGGGCACATTCTTATGTTGGTCATACACTCAGGAAATGTGTTGGCTACTCCGACCACTTTCTACCAGCTTTCTATGGCGGAAGGATCAAGGCAACCAATTGTTGGGTGTAGCAGTGTCCTGTTTGTTGTTGTAGTTTAGACCTCGTTCACGCTGTCAGTGACATACATGTGTTTATAGGGCAGTTGTAAACACACATATAACATGCATGTAAGGATTTTAATGGTATAACTCACACTTGCATTTAGATGCATTCAGGTGCATTCAATTTATATGCGTTTGAAAAATTAAAAGATCTGTACGTTCAGGGGCAGATTAGATATTCTAAACATGCTTAAAGGAGAACTATGGGGTCAGGGCTTTTCCCCATAGTTCTTCTAAGGGTAACGGGAGGACACAAACTAGCGTCCTCCCATTACCCTAAGCTCAGTATACCGGGAGTTACAGCTCGCAGTATACTGAGACGCTGAAGCCGGGATGGATCCCGACATTACTGTCGAGATCCACCCAGCTGCGTGAGTGACAGCTGGCTCTGCCTATCTAGAGGCAGAGCCAGCTGTACTTGCCCCCTCCCCCGTCCGTTCCTCCAGTCAGCGCTGGAGGATCGGAGGGGGGGGGGGGGTATCCCTGCAGGGAGCCGTGTGTGACAGTCACGGCTCTCTGCATTGACGGGATCGAGAAGTGAGCGAGCAACGGTATGTGTTCGCTCACTTCCCAATCTATTGAGCCGACCAGTGACAGTTTCATTGTCACACGTCGGCTCAAACTATGAGGCTGAGTGTTTTCACTCACCTCATAGTTCTCCTTTAAAGCGGGTCTTCACTCCCAAAAAGGACTTTGCATCTTTGCTACCCTTCCCTCTCCACAATCATAAAACCCCTTTTTTAAAAAAATTTATTTCCACTTTTTTAAATTCATAACTTCAGCCCATGCCAGCCTCTATTCTCGGCTAGGCCCCAGGAGCCCCCTAGGATTTCTATGTCCGATATCTCAGGAGGCATTGGCTTCCATATTGCAGGTACAGTAAAGCGGGCCTGTAGGCGCCTCATTGGGGGCGGGTTGCAAGAACCCGAAAGAGACAGCCATCTTCTGATGACGTAAGGAAAAAAGATGGCGGGGTGGGACCCAGCATGCTTCAGGCATATGGTGGATCACAGCAAGACAACACTGGATTGGCTAGGCATGCGACTGTTATCTTATGTATAACCCCATTATCAAAGAGGGGATCTTTAAAAAAAACACACATGGGGGTGAAGTTCCTCTTTAAACGCTGTAAATACACGTACATTTAAACACAGGAGAGCCTGATTTGGGAAGCACAACCTATTTGTTTTTACCTCTTAGATAATATATCTGCATTTAAATAAACCAAAAACGGGAGGCTAGTGTGATTGTAGCCTAGAAATGTTCAAAATGACTTCCCAATTGCCTAGTATATGGCAAACCGTTGTCAGGCCTGCATACAAAAGAACATCTAAGCTCCGGTTTTGGCCACACTCGCAGCATTGTCCTGGGGGTCGGTCCTGTTGGGATTAACATTTGAAATGAGCAAGGTGGACAGCACAAAGAACCCAGGAAGGGGCACTGGACCGCGTAGTCCAGGGCATTGAGGACATGCATTTTGAGGTGGCCCTTTTTCCTGCAGCTATGAATTCTGCATTACTTTATATAGATGGAGCGGTTCCCTTACAGATACTGAATCAAGTCTGCCTGCGCTTGCCAACGTACAAAAAGTAATCTTCCTAATTGCAACCTAGAACTGACTCAGGCTTGGCAATCCATTTTCCCAGCAGAGCTGAGCTCTGTCTTTAATAGAAGTGATGTATGCAGACGTGTACTGTTCATCTGTAGGATAAAGGAGTGTCGCCTACTGAACCTATAGATTGGGGGGGCATGTGTGCAATTCTTCAGTGTCACATGACTGTGCGGGTTCTTGTAGATGGACTGACACTTATTGATGTGCTCGGTGCATTAGCCTGCTGCTTCTGTAACTGACCCTAATGATCTGATTTATGTTTCAGGGAACACCCCCTCCACTTTAACACAGATCAATAATGTAGCGGTGTACTGCTGGGATGTGTTTTGTTGTATATGGTGTCCTGTATAAATAATATTTTTTTTTTTGGATGCTTTTATGTAAATACTGCTGTTTTAATATACAGTAATACCTTGGTTTACGAGCATAATTTGTTCCTGAAGCATGCTTGTAATCCAAAGCGCTTGTATATCAAAGCGAATTTCCCCATAGGAAATAATGGAAATTCAGATGATTCGTTCCACAACCCAAAAATATTCATATAAAATGATTACAATACAGTACTGTAATATAATACTGTATAAAATATAAAGAAAAATAAACCAATTACTGGTACCTTCGTGGCTGGTGTGAGGGGGACGAGAGAGAGAAGGATTATTGTGTAGGACGACTTTCACTACCACTAACAGAATCACTGCTATCTCTTGACTCAATGTAATCTTTTTCATTTTGTGAAACCTTAACAAGGAATCTATTCAATGTGACATTGCATTGTCGTTAAACAGACTCATCGCTCGCACTGCTACAGCCTTATTCGGTGGTGCTTTTCTACAGAATTTTGCTCTTATTGCAAGACATTGCTTGTATATCAAGGCAACATTTGCCATCAGAAATGTTTGCTTGTCTTGCAAAACGCTCTCAAACCAAGTTACTTGTAAACCAAGGTATTACTGTATAAACAAATCCTCATCAGTGTTTATTTTCCAAAGCTGTTCTTTGCAGACCCCACCTTACATCCTTGTTACTGAAAGTTTGCTGTGAGGATTGGTATTTAGGTGCTTGAGTCAGCAGATGTCTTGCTGATTTTGGAAAGATTTCCTTATTTTTACTGAATGGTGCCCTCTGCTGTCTACTAAAGTCATAATGTACCATTTGATGGGGGAAGATGGATTCGTTTTCTATTCTCTCTGGTTATAATTATAAAGTCCATTGTTCTTCTAGCACACTTTATACAGTATCCTGTGTACGTACTACTAAAGAAATGTATACATATGGAAGTTGTCTAAAGCTGTACTCTGACCTCACAATAAGTGCAAGGTTTAAGGAAGCTTAAGCTGGCCATACATCGTAAAGCTGACTACATTTTTGATCGGAAATGATTGTTGCTGCCAAGAACCCGTGTTCGATTCTAGCTCAAATAGCCCATCAAGCACAGACCAATTTCGATAATCGTTTT